ACACTTGCACATTCTTTTACTGTACCTGTGAAAATTGCTCTGTACCTTGCTAGCTCAACATTATGTTTTGAATTATTTTTTTCTTATTTTCTTTACTATTTTAGTAACTACACAATATTCCATTCTTAAGGATATGTCATAATTTCTTTAATTTTCTATTGATAATCACTATTTGTTTATCACTACAAACAGTGCTGCAGTGGATATCTAAATATATATATTTAACATTTCACATCTTCCTTTATTGAATAACAATTTTACAAATAGATTTTGAATACTTTTATCTTCAAGCAAAATTTAATGTAAAGTATAGGGATTTCCCACATTCTCTGGGCCTGACTAATGAACAGCCTTCCCCATTATCAGCATTTTCCACCAAGTGGTACATATGTTACATTGTTAAACCTACTTGGATGCATTATTTTAACCTAAAGTCCATAATTTACATTATAGATCACTTTTAATATATATTCTATGGTTTGGAAAAGTGTATAGTGAAACATATCCACAGTTATAGTATCATATAGAGTATTTGCATTTCCCTAAAACCACTCCGCATATTCATTCTATATCAATTTCTAATTCATCCACAGAATGAAAAAAAAAAAAAAAATATATATATATATATATAGAGAGAGAGAGAGAGAGAGAGAGGACATTTTCACAAATCCTTGTACAGGTTCTTCAAAGCAGAAGTGTAATCTCAATTTCAATTTCGAAGATTCAAGTTTCTACAGAACAAAATTATTTTGGTTGTTTACTCAACTGAGAGAGGGTAGAGAGAAATGGAAATGCAAGATTGGCACCAAGGCTCTGGGCTTCCCTATAGGTGGACCCCAGTTAGGTGCCACAGGCCACAAATAATCTGGAAGAAACAAGGGAATATATAAAACTTTTTCTTGAAAAACACCACTCAAGACAAAAAAAAAAAAAGAAACATTTATTTAGAGGCTTTTATTTAACAGCAACAATGAAAAAATTAGATTGAAGGACCATGCAATGAAGAGGATAAACAGCAACTTGTTATTTTTTTAATGGCTAAGGGTAAGAGGAAGGAGGACTAAATAAAGAAATAAGAAGAGGACCACAAAAAATAGGATTAGAAAATTAAGTTCAAAGGAGTCTTAGAATTGGTTGGCAATAAAAAAAGAAATAATAGGAAAACACTGATCAGAGTTTAAGATTCAGACAGCAGCAATAGTTTTAACTTACACTTTTCATAAAAGTTATAGTTTGAATTCAATAACTTCTATAATTTGTCTGCAACAGTTTTGAGTTTTTAATTTCCATTTAACTTACAGGTTTCTAAGTTGGCTGTAGAAATCTGTTCCCAAGCAAAGCTCAGAGCTACTAAAAGAATTAGACAAATTTTATGTACTGTCAAGACAGTTTCCTCTCTCCTCAAAAAAAAATAAAAATAAAACTACAATATTGCTAACCTCCTACATGGTAAAGTTGGAAAACGATTTTGAATTCAATCATCATGTATGTCATACACCCTTTAGAGAAATAAAATAAGTATTTAACCAGACTGAGGCACTGATGCTTATAGAGAGCTTCATCTATGCCGGTATTTTAGTTGTTTTTTTATGATGTGTTCGCAAATAATGGATCTAGAACATCCAAACATACCGTTGAAGAGTATTTTCTAAAATGCTTGGAAGGAGATGCTGTGAATTTTAACATGTGCTGTGAATTGTATTAACAATATCTAACATATGGTTAACCACTTATTTTCTGCTTTATAGAGGGCACTTCCTAGAGATATTTTATTCTTAAGTTATAGTCACATAAAATTAATAGCTTGTGCACAATAAAGAGTGTAGCAAGCCATCTTATTTTATTAGTGTTGATTAAAGTAATGATATTTTAGAAATAAAAAGGAAGATAAATATAGATAGATGGCAGATGGACAAAGACATAGATTTTTGTAAGTATTGGTCAATATATACAGCATGGGATTCAGATTAAACATAATATATTGCAGTTGATCATGTTTGGCAAATGTATATTCTAGTAAATACTGTGATTCAACAGTGTTTTATTAAAACATTTTTGATTCTCTTGCAATTTCCTTTACAATAGGAATTTTATAAGACTGTGCATATATTCTAAGTCGCTTCAGTCATACCCAACTCTTTGCAACCTCATGGACTGTAACCTGCCAGGCTCCTCTGTCCATGGGATTCTCCAGGCAAGAATACCGGAGTGGGCTGCCATTTTTCTCCTCCAGGGGATCTCCTCACCCAGGGATCAAATCTGCATCTGCTGTTTCTACTGTATCGGCAGGTGGATTCTTTACAATTAAGCCATCTGGGAATTCCAACTTACTGGCTTATATGCACTAATTCAGGATTTTCCAAGTAGAGTTTTCTATGCTCTTTGGTAAATGAAAAAAAGAAAAATATGGATAAATATTCTATGCTAAGAATGAATATATATTTCAATAGGCTTTGAAATCTATAACCAAACTAACCAAATTTTGGGAAACTCTGCTTTAATAATTCAAAGCAAAATAATGTTTTATGTGATCTTTAAATAGAGGTGTTTTTGTTTGTTCTTTTTAAATCTATTCATAATCAAGTCTAGTTCAAAAATAACCAGTTATATATGTCAAATATAATTTTAATGATTTCATTACAAAATTATGCATAAATATCATGTAAACTATGTAAAATCTAAAAATAAAAACAAAAATTTAGAAAAAATAAATAAAAAGAGAAAGTGGTAGCCTACCAAAATGCAAATACTATTGACATTTTGCTTATATGTACTTCCTGTTTATATGTTTCTGCATGCTTTTTAATAAAAAAAGTGACCATTTTTGGCAATGTAGAATTCTTTTGATTTCACATAACAGAAACAAAAGTACTTTTTCAATGACACAAAATTAATAAAATTATTTTATTTAGAATATTAGTAGAGATACTTAAAATTAGAAAATTTCAAGCAGCAATTATACACTAATGTTTCATATGTGACGATCTCTAGAATTAAGTAAGCTTGTATATTTTGTTTTTTTTCTTATATGATTAATTCATGAAGACTGAATCTTACTGCAACTTCAAAACAATTTTTAAAATTTGAGTGACGTGAATCATTTCCTATGATCTTTAACCATTTGTCTATTGACATATCTTATGTGACTTGCTCACATGTTTTTGCCAAATTATCTTTGGAAAAATTGGACAGAGGAAGTGAATAGACACGGAAAAGTGCTCAACATCAACAATAATCAAGGAAATGTAAATGAAAATTAAAATAAATGATCAACTCATAACTGTTAGGTTGACTATTATCTGAAAAAGCCTAAAGACAAAAACTATTGGTGAGAATGTGGAGAAAAGAGGCTATTGTGTCCTGTTAGAGGGAATGTAAATTGGTGTGATCATTGTGAAGAACAGTATCAGAGCTCCTCAAAGGAATGAAAAACAGAACAATTATATGATCTAGCAACTCCACTCTGTATATATATTTTTAGATTATATTTCCTTATTATATTTTTTAATTTTACAGGAAACAAATATTAATTGAAGAAAAATGCTATCTCATATAGATGTAAAATTAAAAATTAAAAAAATCCTCCATTTCTTAGTGAGGCCTTAGATTAACTAGATTAATTCCAATTCTTTGCATGATATGATCATATTATTATGCTCTCTAAAACATGAGTTAGAGATAATTGTTCCATAATAAGTAATTAGGTGAAAATACATTCATGGTTATATTTGGTAAAATTGACTTTTGTAATTATTTAGAGTTCATAATATCATTAACATTTCATTAAATTTGAGTTGTTTCATTGAAACAAAATGTTATTTGCTGTTTTATCATCAAACTTAATTACATTAATTTTCAAAATTACCTCAGTGATATTGTCTTATTAATTTTAGATACATAATCATTTTTCTCATTTGTGATCTTTTTTTATTTTCATAAATTCTGATTATCACCATTCAATTTGTGCACTTATTTCATAACCAGCTACTTTTAAACTTACTTATTATCTTTATTTTTTCTTTTCACGTTTTTGACAAAGGATTTATTTGCTGATCCCTAAGAAGCAAAATTCAGAAAACATCTCCCTCCCCCACTGCAAGAATAGATTTAAAAAAACATTTTCAGTCGTCCTCTTCCCTCTTCCCGTGGCGGGCCCTTTCATGTGCACCTCATCGTAGACCAGACTGACTTTCAGAAATTCTCCAAAAGACACCTGGCACTTTCATGTTGCTCATGCCTTCTGCTACACCTCTCTGGCAGGCAAGTGGAGCCTTTTCTGTAGCTTCTCGCTTTTAATAGAAATTTATTGAAAATTTTTCTTGATAGAAAAAAATTTAAAGATTCTCTCCCCAGGCTCATCTTTCATTTATCTACTAGAAAAGTACTGAATTGAAAAGGTTTTTTTACCCCAGTTGTAATCAAAACATGAAATACTGAAGAACTTCCAGGTTACTAAGTTCTTAGGTTATACACATAGATACACACAGAGGAAGTTGAACCCCAAGTTCTATTCCTTCCCAAAATGGGTAACAGAGGATTTGATTAGAACAGAAAAAAAAGAAAAAAAGAAAGAAAAAAAAAAAAAACACCAAATCTGATAGTCATTCTATTGGCTTGGCCGAAACGTTCGTTCACGTTATAAAAAGCCAAATGAACATTTTGGCCAACACAGTATGATGGAGCAAAGCAGCTTTTTCATCCATAAACTGATACCACCTCTTGGTCATAAATGCTGCAGAGATCCAAGATAAGTCTCAAATTTCGAGGAGAGTCAGCAGAGAGTGCACAGAGGAGAAAGCTGCTGAAGGCACAAAGGATCCCAAGGAACTTTTAGTGCTGTCTACATTTAATAAGCCAGTAGTATAGCAACCTAAAGACCTTGGCTGTGATCACACCAGAATGTTTTTAATGGACTGCTGCGGGAAAACCATGATGGACAGCTGGCATGCTCTGGCTCATGGTGCTAAGTGGGCAGCTCCAGAACCAACTCTGTGCTGAGCCTATGGCTGGGGTGTGTAGCGGAAGTATTTCTTGCCAAATGGGAGCTCTTTGATGAAGGCTCCTTTAGGGAAAAGTTTTTTGGCTTCCTTTTCAGGGATGGTTGGAAGGACCATCACGCTGTCCCCATTCTTCCAGTCAACCGGGGTGGCCACCCTCTTTTCTGCTATCAGCTGGAGAGAGATAATTACTCTAGGAATCTCATCAAAGTTCCTGCCAGTGGGAGCTGGGTAGAGGATGGACAGTTTCAGTTTCTTATCAGGACCAAAAACAAACACCACGCGAGCAGTCACAGGAATGCCCTTTTCGTCTTTCTCTGCTGGGTCCAGCATGCCCAATTGGATGGCAAAGTCCCGATTCTTATCATCAATGATGGGAAAAGGTAACTTTTCCGTGGGCTCTTCACCATTGTAAGCGTTGACATCCTTGCTCCATGCAAGATGGTCTTCCACACTGTCTATGGAAAGAGAAATCATCTTAACATTTCTCTTGGTAAATTCTGGTGCCAGCTTTGCTGCTCTGCCGAGCTCCGTGGTATACACACTGGGGTAAAGTCCGGAGGGTGGGAGAAGAGAATGCCCCATGAGTCTCCCAGATAGTTGTGGAAACGGATGCGGCCGAGGGTAGTATTTGCCTCGAAGTTCGGAGCCTCGACCCCGAGGAGGAGACCTCCGGGCATGGCCGCAGCAGTGACGCGGGGAGTCGGAGGAGATGTACCGACAGCCACTAGCCTGCTGGTTCTGCTACTTTTAGCTTTAATATATTCGGTTTCTCTGCTAGAAAACGATATCATTACAAAAAATGATAAAGTTAACTTATTTTCCATCATTTTATAATTCACAACTATATTTCTTAACTTACTGAATTATGCCAAACTTCTATTAAATTGTTAAATAATAATATTAATTAGGAATTTTCATATTCTCATTCTACCTACTGCTGGCTATCTCTAGGTGTTCAACATTACATATTACCCCATCAACTGATTTTAAGTAATATATACTATGTTAAAGTATGACTCTAGAAGTTGATTTTTAAATACATAAACTATATCAAAGATGTATCAGTTACTAATTTTCTAAAAAAAATCCCTTCCAAATGAGAAAAAAGAAAAAAAAAACATTTTTATTACAAAATTTTGCCAGCTATTACAAATGACCAACTGGTTTCATTTACTTAACCAGTATATACAGATATATCAAACTCTTCAGTGCTTATTTTGAGGATAAAATATCATCTCAACAGATTACTCCTAATGTCTTACACTTTCTTTTATTATCAGTGCTGTATTATATTTTGCATGTCATTTGGTAATATTTTATTTGTTTACTCATCTGTATTCAATAAGATTTTACTTATAAATATATTTCTTCACATTCTTCATGTGCCATGATTATAGATGTTGCAAATTTTTTAGTATACAATGTTCAAATGACTTATTTCATTGTTACTTCTAAGTATTTCAGTATACATTACATTTAGCTTTTTATACTATCATTTTATGTTCATATTTATATAGTATCTGTGTAATTCTTAATTTAAGTCTCCATATTTTCTGTTTTCTACTTTTTCCATTATTTATGAATGTGGTGTGTGTTTATCACTATTATCTAAGAATGATTACACTCTGTGATTCATATGCCAATAAAATATCACATTTTACATTTAATTAAGTGTTTACATTTATCTGAAGTTTTATATTTGGTATAAAATCACTTAGTACATTTATTTCTTATTGAATTTAGCTTCATTTCATACTTATGCATACATGAAGTCTTTTATGTTTAATTTTTGGAGGATTTACAGTTTATTAAGATATTATAGAAAAGGCAGAACCAGAGATCAAATTGCCAACATGCACTGGGTCACAGAAAGCAAGGGCATTACAGTAGAAATATCTACTTCTGCTTCATTGACTATGCTGAAGTCTTTGTGTGAATAAAACAAACTGTGTAAAATTCTTAAAGAGATGGGAATACCAGACCACCTTACTTTACTCCTAAGAAATCTGTATGCAGGTCAAGAAGCAACAGTTAGAACTGGACATAAAGCAATGGGCTGGTTCAAAATTGGGAAAGGAGTATGTCAAAGCTGTATATTGTCAACCTGATTATTTAAATAATGTGCAGTGTACATCATATGAAATGCTGCACTGGATGACTCACAAGTTGGGGTCAAGATTGCTGGCAAGAAATATCAATGACCACAGACATGCAGATGAAACCACTTCAATGGCAGAAAGCAAAGAGGAGCTAAAGAGCCTCTTGATGAAGGTGAAAGAGTAGAGTGAAAAAGCTGGCTTAAAACTCAACATTCAGAAAACTGAGATTATGGCATCCAGTCCCAACACTTCATTTCAAAGAGATGGGGAAAAAGAGGAAATACTGTCACATTTCATTTTCTTAGGCTCCAAAATCACTGAGGATGGTGACTTCAGACACAGACTTACAAGATGCTTGCTCTTTAAAAGAAAAGCTATGACAAGCCCAAGTTTTCAGTTACTCAGTCATGTCCAACTCTTTGTGACCCCATGGAGTGCAACACGCCAGGCTTCCCTGTCCCTCAGAACTTGCTCAAATTCATGTTCATTGAGTTGGTGATGCCATTCAACCACCTTATCTTCTATCATCCCTTTCTACTCCTGCCTTCAATCTTTCCCATTATCTGGGTCTTTTCCAGTGAGTCAGTTTTTTTCATCAGGTGGCCAAAGTATTGGAGCTTCAGCATCAGTGCTTTCAATGAATATTCAGGACTGATTTCCTTTAGAATTTTATGGTTTGATCTCCTTGTAGGCTAAGGGACTCTCAAGAGTCTTATCCAACACCACAGGTCAAAAGCATCAATTCTTGAAAAGCAGAGACATTGCTTTGCCAAAAATGGTCTGTGTAGTCAAAGCTATGATTTTTCTGGTGGTCTTGTGTGGATGTGAGAGTTGGACCATAAAGAAGACTGAGCATCAAATAATTGATGCTTTTGAACTGTAGCACTAGAGAAGACTCTTGAGAGTCCTTTGGATAGAAAAGAGATCATACCTGTCAATTCTAAAGGAAATCAACCCTGAATATTCATTGGAAGAACTGATGATGAAGCTGAACCTCCAATACTTTGACCACCTGATGTGAAGAATTGACTCATTGAGAAAGACCCTGATGCTGGGAAGGATTGAAGGAAAGAGAAGGGAGCAACAGAGGATAGATATTTGGATGGCATCACTGACTCAATGGACGTGAGTTTGAACAAGCTCAGGGAGATAGTGAAGTACAGGGAAGCCTGGCATATTGCAGTTCATGGGGTCACAAAGAGTCAGACACAATTTAGCCACTGAACAACAGTGAAGATATTATAGAGTGAACAGTAGACTACATAAGTCTACTCTGAATTTATCTTTTTTCTTTTCAATGCATTAATAAAAATATACGTAAGTCCTAATTATAATAATGAACACAATTAAGGGTCTTGACACACATTTCAAATTGACTTCTAAAGTTAGATTACTTTTATCTTACACAGCAAAGCATAAGAGTTTTCCTTTCATCATTTCATCACATTTTATTAACATTTATAACAATTTTTGCAAGTTGAAGAGGTCAAAGAGATAATTCTGTTATCATTAATATCACTTGAATTATAAATGAAATAAAAATTGTTTATTAAAATTTTCTATTCATTACCTTTTTAACTTTAATTTTGTATCACAATTGTATTTTTGTTAGTTGTATATGTGCATTGTACCTTCTGTAGGAACTAGCCCATGCTCTTTAGGATGAGATTCATAGAAACCTCACAGTAGACAGATCCATGTCCTGGTCCTGCATATATATACAACTGTTTGTGTAGTAGAAACAGTAGGTACTTACTATAAAGCAAGGCTAATGGAAACTGTCCAAGGGACTCTCAAGAGTCTTCTCCAACACCAAAGTTCAAAAGCCTCAATTCTTCAGCACTCAGTTTTCCTTATAGTCCAACTTTCACATCCATACATGACTACCATAAAGACCACAGTTTTGTTGGCAAAGTAATATCTGTGCTTTTTAATATGATGTCTAGGTTGGTCATAACTTTACTTCCAAGGATCAAATGTCTTTTAATTTCATGGCTACAGTCACCATCTCCAGTGAATTTGAAGCCCCAAAAAATCAAGTCCCTTGGGCAAAAAAAATGAAGTCTCTTGAGAGTCCCTTGGGCAGCAGAAGCTCCAACCAGTCCATCCTAAAGGAAATCAGTCCTGAATATCCATTGAAAGGACTGATGCTGAAACTGAAACTCCAATACTTTGGTCACCTGATGCAAAGAACTGACTCATTTGAAAAGACCCTGATGCTGGGAAAAATTGAAGGTGGGAGGAGAAAGGGATGACAGAGGATGGGATGGTTGGATGGCATCACTGACTCAATGGACTTGAGTTTGTGTAAACTCTGGAAGTTGTTGATGGACAAGGAGCCCTGGCGTGCTGCAGCCCATGGGGTCACAGAGTCAGACATGACTGAGCAACTGAACTGACTAATGGAAACTGATCCATGGAATTAACATAATGATGATAAAAATGACTTCACAGAGGTTACAAAGCCAAAATAATGTAAAATGTGGTGCTTTATGATTTGATGGCCATGTTTCATGGTCAAATGGAGAAAGGTATATGTACTGTAACATGTCAGGGCTACTCATAGAAGGAAGCCAAGCTGAAAGAGGAGGATGGGAGAGAGGTGAGAAGGCAGGGAGGAAGGGAGAAGAGGGGGATATGTGACCATGATTCAATACTGATGTTTTGCAGTCTTCTGTTTATGAACCTACATTCACTGCTGCCCTTGCAGTTAGAAGAATCGATGAAGAATGAGTTCCTCCTGTCTGGAATGAATTCTATCTGGGTGCAATATATATGTAATAACCAGTGTCCAGAAAGGTACAGAAATTGGTAACAGAAGCCAAATATTGTAAGTGTTGTTAGTCACTTAGTCCTATGAGTGCTCTGAGTCCTCTTTGTGACTGCATAGATTATAGCCTATCAGGCTCCTCTGTCCATGGGATTCTCCAGGCAAGAATACTGTAGTGGGTTGCTGTTTCCTTCTCCAGGGGATCTTCCTGATCTGTGAATCATATCTGGGTCTCCTGCATTGCAGGCAGATAATTGTTTTTTTCTGTTTTTTTTTTTTTTTTTTTTTTTTTTTTTTACCCTCTGAGCTACAGGGAAGCCCCAAATAGTGTAAAAGCAAACTCTAAATTGTAAAATCAGAAGAATCTAGTTCTGAAAAATATGGGGGCAGGGGAATGATTTTCTTATAATAATACTTTTTATGTAACTGAAAATAAGCCAGTTAAATTGTTAGCTTTTACATCTTTAAATTTAAATGATATTGAAGTTTGAGGGGAATGAAAAAATTACAGGCTTAGAATTTGGGAATATATCTTTTGTGTTTTTGTTTCTATATTTTTCAAGTTTATTTTCAACAGAAGGATAATCTCTTTACAGTATTGTGTT